TGGTACTGGTAATCCTTGAGAATTGTGTGCAGCTACTCTTTCAAGCCTATGCCATACTTCATCCCTTTCTTTCATCTTTTTCTTTTCACTATAGAAATAAATATTAAAAATCTTATTTAAGAATGAATATTTTTATATATTTCAAAAAAACAATTTCCTACACCCACAATTGACGACTTTGTTTATAATGTGCTGTACATTCATCAAACAAAGCTGGATTAATTTCCATAAATAGTTTGAGTGCATTATATACCAATCCATGTATAGTCCTTCAAATAAGAAATGGTATTGTATATTATACACTTAATATTTAATTATATAAATTACATATAAAAATAATACTTAAATATTGCTTTACTTCACCTATTCCAATGAGCTTTTGAGTTTTGATATAATGATGGAAACATTACAGGTAAAATAATGTTTACATTATCACCTATCAAATTTACAATATATTCATTATTCCAGTAATATAATGCTCTTTCTGCTACCTTTAAACAAACAAATTAACAAAATAAGTTATTCTTATTTATTATTATGTATCAAAGTTTTATAAGCAATTTATATATATATAGGAAATATGATTTAGATTACCTGAAAATGAGGACTTGAGACGCATCTTGCAATTTGTTGAAATAATGGTACTTGAATTTTTATAAATTCTTGTGGTTCTATTACATCCAATATTTCTTCAATTTCATTCAAAAACATTACTTCTTTTGGACTATTTACCTTTGGCCAATATCTCAACAAACCACAAATTACCTAAATGTTTAATATTAAATAAATTATATTTTTTCTAACAAAAAAAAATCAAAAGTCAAAAAAAAATTTCAAAATAACAATCACTTCTTCTGTTAATGTAGGATCTTTCTCTAAAAATTGTACCACACAGTATGCAAGTTGTGGATGATACAATATTAAAGATTTTACTTTGTGTAAAGGGATTAAACCCTTTGTGAGAAAAGTTTTGTGTTCTTCTTTTAATGGCAACGCAAATCCATTTATGATACTGTTGTATTAATTATTAATAATATAAATTTAATAATTAATCAAAAAATTTAAAATTTGATTAACTTTATGTGCACTAACACATTATTTTTAAAATTAATTATACCTTCCAAGTATTTCCAGCAACTCTGCAATACCATTGTGACGCTCTGTTTCATATATAAACTGGAAGAACACATTATTGATTGATCTTCGGATAAATGCTCGCAAATTTAAAAATTTTCCATAAATACGATGCAATGTGGTTTTCAAAAAATCTCGCTCTCTTGGATCTTCACTGTCAAATAATTCTAATAACTAACGTATATATGCATTTATATAAATTTAAATTTATGTATGTATTATTAACAATAATATATTTGGTAATGATTTTGTTACATACTTGTAATATAAATTGGGGATCTATATATTTCTTTGCAATATTTGTGTTGAAATCAGGTGACTCGATAAATCTAAGAAAAAATTCATAAACTATTTGAAGATGTGGCCATGCAAGTTCAAGTACAGGTTCATCTTCTTCAGGGTCAAAAGCGTCACCTATAGGATTTACTTGTGGAGGTATAGTTCTAAAAAGATTTACTGCAAACTAGCCAATCATGTGTATATTAATTACCCGGAATTACTAGGATGTTATATAAAAATTCAAAAATATATAAAAAAAAATAAAAAAATAACAAAAATCAAAGTACATCTTATTCTAGATATAAAATAAGAATAAAGATTCTATAACAAACCATGGAAACAACTTCAGGATATATTGGTTCAGTAATTACACCTCGGTTTGTTGTGATGTATTCTAGAAGTTCAGCCAACGTTGATCTTTTAATTTCTTTGCCCTTTAAATCTGCACTTGCATCATTAAAATCAAAAATTACTGAACATTGATTAAGTTTTCTAAGAAATAATTCTTGTCTTTTGTCAGGTGAAACCTCTAATAATTATTAAAAAGGTATATTAATAATTGTATTTTTTAATTAATATTTTTTTTAAAAAAAATTTTTGATTAATTAATCAACCAACCATTAAAATTTGGTAGCTTTTCTAATTCGACCTTTTCAGTTACATGAAACCTTGATGATCTTTGACGACGTGGTGCTTTACTTATAGGAATAACATCTTTAGGTGTATTTTTTAAACGATTTAATGGATCTCTCTTTGGTGGTTCCTCTTTTGTATGAGACTTGTGATTATTTGCAGGTAAAATGGGAACAGAATTTTCCAAGCTATTTTGAGCTTTTTGCTGAATAAAAGAAAAAAAAATTTGTTAATGATTTTAAACTTTTAAATGAAATATAAATATTCTAATTATAATCATTTATTCGACAAAATAGCAAGTATAATGCTTCATTAACTATTCTTGCAGACCTGTTCTGTTGCATTTACAACAACGATTGCAGGGGTATGAGTACCGTCAGTTGAGTTCGTAGAGATCTTTCCTGAAGACCTTGAGCTACTAGCGGATTTCCCATTATTGTTACTATTAGTAGTAGTAGTAGATGGATTACTCGAGTCTCCTGTTTTTCGTAACTGGGTAACACCAGATGGAAAACAAATAGTAACGTTATTATTATATTAAAGTGTAAGGAAATGGATAATTTTTACAATTAAAAGAAAACTTTATTAAATCATTTTCAAGAACGATTCACTCAACTTTTTTTTTTAGTATTGAGGCCATTTTTGCTTAATTATAATTCAACAGTATGAAAAGTAATATAATAATAATTTTTTGTTTCACAAATATATATTAATATATATCTATATTAGGGAGTGCCCAAATGACATCATCTTGCTTTTATTATTATAACGGTCAGGGTTATTACCAAATGTGGGATTTCTAAGTACTGCAGTCAGGGAGATTTCTATATTTGGAATTTCTAAATACCGTATATATATAATAATCAACGATCTAGGCTCTAGAAAAAAATCAAAACAACAATGATTGGCTAAAATTTATGCAGATCTTTTCATTGAAAAAAATTTTATGAAGGAAACTTGGCAAGGGCTTTATTAAATGATCATACAACTACCAAAATTATGTATTATGTGTATTTTTAACTGCTTTATGAGCCTACCAAAAAATAGACAATAGTTGTAAATCATAATCGTGAAGTTATTAAACAAATTCAATAAATTTTTTCATAAATGGTATATACTGAGGAAGTTTTTTTTTTGAATTCATTAACCTGTCATTCAATCTTCTTTTAGAATCCTGCTAGTAAGACAAGTATTAGGAGTAAGTCTTCAACTAGGACTTGGACTAGAAGAAATGCATCTTTCCCTTTCCTATTATTATTAACAATGCATGTTAAAATTAATAGTAAATTGTTAAATTATACCTTTTGTATATAGATGATTTATTATGTCTTGTTTTTTTTTCCTTGTTATTGTTATTAAAATTATAAATGAATTCCTTATGTAAAAAATTACTTCATGATTATTAAGTCTGGTGGTCTAGTGTTTACCATTACTAACTTGTAATTTAGGAAAATATTTAGCAAAAGGTTTATGTGTTCCTTTGCTGTTAATCCTGATGCATGCTTCCAAGATTCATCACATTTAGTTTTGCATAGCTTTAAATTACTCTCAGGATATTCTTGAGCAAGTGAAGCAAATAAACATGTTAAAGTACTGGCAGTTTGTTTTGATGTTTATTCACTATCGTTGGCTCAGTCTAAAGACCGGTGCGCCATGTGCTCAAATTTCAAAAATTGCGATTTTGTGATTCGTTCAAAAATGCAATAAAACTTTTCAATAAAAGGTCTTCACATGATTTTGGTAAAAAATTATTTTCCTTCCTGCCAAATTAGATATGATTGTCGAGTATTGGTCTAAATTTAGTAACGATGATCGAAAACTAGTCTAAATTTAGTAATAATCCTAGTGCTCAAATTCCTCATGAGCATAGTAAAGCACGTGTTTTAAGAAAGAATAGAACTCTACAACAAATAATTTTTTTGAGAAAATCTCTATTACATTAAAATTAAAGACCTATCAACCAATAGAGCTATTTTTTTAAAATGTAGGACAAAAAATGACTTCTATACTTTTAAAAATTTAGGATGTCTTTAAACCAAGCCAACTATAGAATTGGAAAAAAAAAGGTGTTAAAAGCATATGTAATTTCCTCAATTTTTAATGGAAGTGCACTTGAAGAAATTAACAGATTTTAACAGATTTTTGAAAATTCCGATAGAGCAAGTTCTATAGTATTTATTTCAATTATTATAAATTGGATTTTTTAAAGAAATTTTTTTGTTTACATATTATGGTAGCATCACATAAACTCTATGATTCATATATGAATTGATCAATGAGAGGGTTCGAATTTTTCCAGAATCCATCTTAATCTCCAAATTTGGAAATCTCCCTGACTGTACTTGTGTATTATTGTATTACTACTCATTTGACTAAATATTTACTTAGAGATAGTAAGCCACTTTGCTTGGCGAGTTATACAAGATAGATATCTATAAGAGATTTTATTGGACAAAATATTGTAAAAGTCACATTATTTGTAATACCCTAAAAGGTATAAATACACTTGGCTTTAGATCAAGTTAGAGGGACAATATTGATAATAACATTGATAATAACTTATAACAATTGAATAATTATCCCCCCCCCCCCCTCCATTGTTAGTATTAAATAAACACATTTTACCTTATTACGAATTTTATAGTTAACAGGGAAAAGCCATTGTGAATTGTTCCATGATCCTCTCTGATGGTTAGTGGTCTGTTCATGAATCATTAGTTAGGAAACCCCCCATCAGAGATGAAGATCAGCTTTCAAAATTATTGTCATCAGAGACAAAGCAGACTTTGAGTCAACATATATTCCATAGTGTTGAGTTAACAGAGCAGATACAAAAGATGATGAAAGATTTCATTAAATCATATAAAGATTTGAGTTACAATTTCAACCCAGTAAGCATGCTGCCAATAGATTATCCATGCAAAAAAACATCTCTTGATAATAGCTGCCTAATAATGACAGCTTATGAGTTATTTCAAGGCTTGTAAGTGATAATATTAATATTAAATAGTAATAGTAATAGTAATAATAGCTTTTTGCACTAATAATCTTATTGAATATTTTATTTGAAGATGCAATATTTGGAATTATAGACCATTATTGACAGAGAGTGAATATAGTGAGAATCATGGTTGGCAAATGTGCAGTTCATTGATAGTCTATTGATGGTCCATTGGTGTAACATTTAACCATATTTAATATTTTATTAATGGCAATGGACTAGTCCAAAATCCATCTGTTCTCAATGGACAGTCAATTTGCCAACCCTGGTGAGAATGCTTATATAATCCATGCAGTATCCAAGATTTTGAATCCTATCTTTGGATGGCTGCTCAAGTGTGCATGGTGATGTATTTTTTCAAATTTTTATATTAGAATATACATATGATGCACTAATAATTTCATGTCTATATATATATGTATAGGTCTGAGCAAACAAGTAAATCGTCACAGTTGAGAAAAGAACAGATGGGTCTACAAGTTTAGGAAAAAAGCCAGATCTGCAAATCATATTGAAGCAAGGTACAGTGGAAGATGAACTAATTCTTGCTGAAGTTTCGAGACTATTTCCCCAACATGATAAAGAAGATCTAGACTAGAAAAAATTAGTTCGTATATGCAAAGATTGCTTTGATGAGTGATCTAATAACTTTTTTGATGAAAGAAATAGTAATGATGTTGTGGCAAGTTCGTTATGTGATAGGTTAGAGAAAATTACTATCTTAGGAATTCAAGTAATAGGATGCCACACATCTGTTTTTGCATCAGATTTAATCAAAGGTGCTTTTTACTGGTGTCAGTTTACAAAATTTTGATTTAGAGCAATTTTTAGCAGAAAGAAAAACCGCCACTCCAAGTGTTGTTAAAGAATTTATAAACAATTGTCTCAACTAAAAATTATGGTAGAAAAAATTCTTGAAATGACAACAAATATGAAAGATGAAATTGACAGTCTGTCAATAGTTAACATTATTAATACTAATACTAATAACCCATCAGCAATGTCCACCACAACTTATTCCCCACCAAGGAGGTGATAAGTCACTTGATCCATTTTTTACCATGTCGGGTAATATTATATACCAGTGTTGAAAATTCAATCGGCGGGTGTCACGTTATACCAAATTTACATGTGCACGGAAATATTTATTTATATTAATACACACAAATTAAATTAAAAATTAAAAATAAATTGTTACTAAAAATTTTTTTACCAAATTAACAATTAACCGATTTCTTTCAAATATTTTAAAATGTCAAATATTCCAATGGTCATTGATTTGTCTGATGATGAAGTGCTTGAAAAATCACACACTAGAAAAGCTGTTGATCCTAAGTGGTTTGATGATTATCCATGGTTGGAAACTGAATCTGTTAATGGAAATATAATTTTATATTGTAGAATTTGTAGAATTTGCAATGGGACAACAGCATTTGCAAAAGGCACATCTTCATTAAGGTAAGGAAGAATTAAAGAACATATGAAAACCAATGAACATAAAAAATCAGAAGAATTACTTAAACCAGTTACTTCAAGAATTAGTACAGAAAAATTAAAAATTATTTCTTTAATGAGAATTATTTACTGCTGCTCAAAAAATAATATTCCTCTAAACACCTATCCTGATTTGTGCAAATTAACATCTCTAGAATTAATAATTAGTGATAAGGTCTCTACCTTGAAGCCTGCTTCATTAGGAAAACCATCACCATCTAAATCAAAATATGGAAACTATAATAATCATGTATCTGGTATTGATTTTTTAGATAGTATTGCTTATACAATTAAAAAATCTCTCTTTGAAGAATTAAATTCCTCAGTTTATTGGAGCATAATGATTGATGAAACCAATAGTGTTGATAATGATAAATATTTAGCAATAGTAGGAAAATCGGTCACATTTACTTCATCAAAAATTATTTTGTCAACAATCATTTTGTTGACAATCATTTCGTCAAAAGTTCGTTTGATCGAAAGTTCGTTTCATCAAATGTTCATTTTGTCAAAAGTTTGTTTCATCGAATGTTCATTTCATTGAAAATTATTTCATCCTCGAGCCAGAGACCGAATGAGTTAGGTGTGAGGAGTGTGGAAAGTTAGTTAAGAAATTAGGTGAGGAAAGCAGAGTGTGTGGGAAGTGTGAGGAGAAATTTGTTTAATGAAGTTTTTTTTTTGTGATGAAATAATTTTCAACAAAATGAACATTTGACGAAGTGAACTTTTGACGAAACAAACTTTCGACAAAATGACTGTTGACAAAATGGGTGTTGACAAAATGATTGTTGACAAAATGATTGTTGACAAAATGATTGTTGACAAAATGAATCAGACCCTAGGAAAATATATAATCAACAACATACCATACATGAGATATTTAGGTATGGTTAACCTAGACTCAACTGATGGTGAAAGCATATTTGATCAAATTAAGTCATTTTGTGCATCAAAGGGAATATCTTATCACAATATTATTCATTTTGGAAGTGATGGTGCTTCTAACATGATTGGTATGAAATTGATGAAATCATTATTTAATTGTGCAAAAATTAATTTTTTTTAACTAATTCATTTTAATTATTAGGACACATGAGCAGTGTTCCAACAAGATTTAAAAAAATCTACCCATTCATGACTTCAAACCATTGTATATCACATAGCTGGAAAAGAGGTTCTGGTATGTTTCCCTGACAACCATTTCCCCAACAGGACGTTTCCCCAACACTGTTTCCCCAACAGGACATTTCCCTGACAAATATTTTCACTGACTATAACATGCAAGGTTAGAATTGACAATAAAATAATTGAATTTATTGATTGCGCATTTGCTTAGATTAAATTAACATAAATAAAAATAGAAATTAAAAATACAAAAAAAGTAAATTACAAAGAAATATTGTGGGCAATCCCTCTTAAAAATTCAACAAGAGAATAATCATTGTGATTACTAAAAACTGCCAAAATTCGTTTTTCACAGTCAGCATAGCACTTTTGTTGGGGTGGCCAAGGTTCTCCATGAATAATGCTTTCTATTTGCATATTGGTTCATTGCTGCTCTTTATGCATTTCTTCTAAAATTGTGTAAACACCAACATGTGCTCTCCCAATTAAAGTGTTCCATCAATGATGCCATGCTTCAACTGTGTTTTGAGTTTGAGGATGACTGTGTCTGACAAGTTCATGGACAGACCAGAGTCCTGGTGGGAATAGTGGTGGGCTACAAACTACATTTCCATTTCTAAGCTCATGCCAAATTCTTCCATGGACATAGTTGTTCTCAAAATATTGGGCAAGTTCTGCTGCACTCTCAGGCAATAAAGGTCTGATTTGGTCAAAGGCATCTGGGATTTCAGACAGAGGTAGAAAGGCAAGGCTGTAAGATAACATAACTTGATACTAAAATCTTCATCATTGCTATATTCAATAGCCAATCCTAATGTTTGAATTTTTCTCCAGATGTTTTGACAAAGATGAAAAAAGCAACCCTTATTGATAGAACCTGGAAATTCAGACTGAGCAGCATTGATAGCTGCTTGTTCAAAGTCAGTAAGTATCATTGGCAGAGCTAAGTGATGGCCAGTTTCTTCACCCAGGTTGACTAACTCTTGAAATAAGCATCTATAACTTTCTTCTGACTTGCTTGTCATTAGAGTGTACACCATAGGAAAATCACATGCATTATTTTCGCCACCAACCAGAACATGGATGGTATAAATTTGTTGAGACAGTGTGGGTGTCGTTTTAAATGTACCATCCATTATCCAATAATTTGCTTCTTGTAGGTGCTGAAGGTTGGATGTTGTACAAAAAATCATAATCTTTTCTTCATCTAATTCTATTTCTCTTGCCGAAAACTGTTCACCACTGATGGTTGTGTGCAAGTGGGTGGGAACATCAATATCTTGCAATGATTGTGGTTGAGATGGTATGTTTTCATTTCTAACACGTGCAATTCGTTTACATAATGCCTCTCTACCTGGCATATTGGAATAAGAACTTTGAGACATGTTAACTACAGTATTTTGGATTATTTGAAGTGGAAAATCATGTGACTGAGATGCTGTTCTTTTTATTGTATCAAGTGCTTGGACTACTTCTTCACGACTTGCATCTGGTGATGATTGTGTTCTTTAAACTTTTTCAACACATGTTCCTGGCCCTTTAAAACTGTTGTCACTCTTTCCCATGCAGCTATATGCATCTTTATACTCACAGCACCAGTAATATTTCTCATCACAGTTCTTGTCTTTCACTAATATATAATGATCTTTTGTTTGCCATGTGTAGAGTTGACTAATTCGCAGACTTCACAGTTCATTTTAATTGAAATAAGAGAAAGACAAATTTAACAAAATTAAATAAAAGCAAAGTTTTTTGGAATGATGATTGAGATGACCATGTGTATATATATACACGATGATGTTAACCGGCTGAGAATTAAATAGTTTAACTGACTTAACCAACTTAAATAGGTTAAATAGACTTAAATGGCTAATAAATGGGTTGACAGATTAAATGGCTAGTAAACAGGTTTGGCAGATTTGGCTGTCTAACAAATGGGTTGACAGATTTAGCCTTTTAACGAATGGGTTGACAAATTAAATGGGTTTGACAGATTTAGCCATCCAACAAACAGGTTTGACGGATTTAGCTGTCTAACAAACAGGTTTGACAGATTTAGCTGTCTAACAAACAGGTTTGACAGATTTAGCCATCTAATAAATGGGTTGACAGATTTAGCTGTCTAATAAATGGGTTGACAGATTTAGCTGTCTAATAAATAGGTCAACAAAAACAGTTTGATAGACTTAAACAGATTACCCAGAAATGCACTGGCAATGTATTAGGAAAAAATTTGTCAGGGAAATGTCCTGTTGGGGAAATGGTTGTCGGGGAGATGTACCAGAACCAGAAAAGATGCTTCAGAAGAAGTTATATATTTTAAGAAATATGAAAAGACTTTAAAAAATTTGTATAGTTATTTTTCAAAGTCTTATAAAAGACAACAAATCTTAAAGATGATGCAGGTAATCACCATTTTTTCATCCTTATATTCTTTTTATCAATACTTTTTAATAATTTTTACTGTTAACTAGGAAATTAATGAAGAACCATCAACTGTAATCATACTTGTAATTGGAATTCCATAATTACAACAAATTTGGCATTATGTATAAGCCATAAATGATTTTCAGCATGAGACCTCAAAGTCATAAAAGTCGTAAACCATAAACCATAAAACCATGATGCTGTAATGCCATAAATGCCATAATGCTGTAAATGCCATAAATGCTGTAAATACCATAAATGCTGTAAACCCTAATACCATAGTAGTACTGTAACATCTAATACCAACATAGAAAATTTTTCCCATGAACCTTTAATAATATTAAATGTCTTTTTTATCAATTCAATTAAACATAACATAAACATACTAATGTAGGTTTTAAACAACAATGAGTGATAATAAATATTTATAGAAATAGTTATATTATAGAAGTGATAAGTTTTTTCTTAACAAAATATTTTTCAATTATTAAAAGGAAAAAATGAGTTCTATGAGTTCTGTCAGGTCAGGCATGTCAAGTAATCATCAAAGCA